TTAGTAGAGACGGGGTTTCACCATGTTGACCAGGATGGTCTCGATCTCTTAACCTCGTGATCCACCTGCCTCGGCCTCCCAAAGTGCTGGGATTATAGGCATGAGCCACTGCGCCCAGCCAAAAGATCTTAACAGAGAGATCAGGAAGCCAGACTGCAAGGTGGGGGACATTTCCTAACAGTAAGCGCGCCATCCATTCCCTCTTTTGAGGAACAGAGGGTGTTTTTGCTGGGGCCTGAGTCATCCATCAGAACAGACAGCAGAGGATTGGGGTGGTGCTGCTCCCAGTGAGGGGCAGCTCAAGGGGACATGGAAATGGAGGAACAGCCCCCATAAGGGTGAGCCCAGTGTGCACCGGTGCCCCGAGCTGCCTGTGCAAGGCTGGAGGCTAGTTTGGATGAGAACATGGCTCAACTTTCACTTGGCACATTGAAATAGCTTTTGCTGTCTGCTAGGATGTGGAAAGCTGTTTTCCCATGACCCTGAGCAGTGCTGCAACCACAGCTGAGGAGGGAGGAATCTCTTCCCAACGCTTGGCTTTTGCATCCTTAAATTTGGTTGCAACAATTCCCTAAGATCCAAGGCTGGGAGGCTCCCCTTCCTTCTTTCCACAGTGAACTCTGTGCTATATCCACATTCTCCCTAAATCTCCCTGAGCTTTTTGGTAAGAGGCTGGTGACTTTTCCTTTTTCACAATGGTCAGCAGAGGTCTAAGGTCATTCCATCAAACCGAAGATGGCAGCAAATTGTCCCCACTTCTTCATCGAGCGCCCAGGGTTGTGTCCTGGAGCAAGGGTGGTGCCAGGGATTCTCCTGCTCTGGTTCCTCCTGCGAGGCCCCTGCTCATCTGGGCAGCTGCCCTCACTCTTGGTGGGTGGCACATGAGTGTCAACAGGGACCCTCTCAGCCAGGGGCTTTTGGGCATTTTTTGTGCCATGGATCACGTCTCAAAATACTATTTTCTTTTCTTTTGAGACAGGGCCTCACTCCATTGCCCAGGCTGGAGTGCAGTGGTGAAATCATGGCTTACTGCAGCCTCGACATCCTGAAGCTCAGGTGAGCCTCCCACCTCAGCTTCCCAAGTAGCTGGGACTGCAGGCATGCACCACTAGATAATTTCAGAATAATATTTTCATACACATAGAATATGTAGGAGTACAAAGTAAGCTAGTTATACTGATATATAGTTGTCATAATATTTTTTAAATGTGTCACATGGGCCGGGCATGATGGCTCACACCTGTAATCCCAGCACTTTGGAAGGCCAAGGCAAGTGGATCACCTGAGGTCAGGAGTTCGAGACCAGACTGACCAACATGGAGAAACCCTGTCTCTACTAAAAATACCAAAAAATTAGCTGTATATGGTGGTGGGCACCTGTAATCCCAGCTACTCAGGAGGCTGAGGCAGGAGAATTGCTTGAACCTGGGAGGCAGAGGTTGCAGTG